AAAAAAAAAAAAAAAAAGATGAATAAGTTCTGGGAATCTAATTTACAGCATATGATTATAGTTAATAATACTGTGTTATATATTTCAATGTTGCTAAGAGAGTAGATCTTAAATGTTCTCACCACAAAAAAATAATGGTAACTATGTGACATGATAGGTGTTCCCTAATGCTATAATCATTTTGCAATATGTAAGTGCATCAAGTCAACACGTTGTACACTTCAAACTTACACTATGTTATATGTCTATTATATCTCAATAAAGCTGAAAATTATACATTTGATATTTTTGCAATTTTTTAAGAATTCATTTTTAATTATAGTTGACATACAATATTATATTAGTTTCCGGTGTACAACATAGTGATTCAACAGTTACACACCTTACAAAGTGATCACCACAATAAATATAGTAACCATCTGTACATAGTTATTATGATATTATTGACTCTGTTCCCTGTGCTGTACATTACATCTCCATGATTCATTTTATAACTGGATTTTGTACTTCTTAATCCTTTTTCCCTCCTTTTATTAATACTTGTATTGATTAGGGAGACTAAAGTAGTAAAATGAGACCTTGGCTTCTCATGAACATTCCTATTAAAACATACATATGACACATATATATTTCACAGTAAAATATATTCTCTCAGTGGCAATAAACACCAAAATAAAAATAAATTATTTCAGAATTTCTTAGTGATTCATCAAAATTGTTCTCTATGATTTTCTCTTTCCCCTCCCCGTCAGACGCTTCTCTTAAATCAGACATACTAGCATAGACATTTTTTAACCTGTACTTTTCTAATTGTTTTAGTGAGATGTGGCCAAAATCAGGGTGAGTCCCATATCTTCAGTTCAGTCTACTTTTAATTATATTAATATGAGTGGATGGTTTTGGCCATGAATAGACTTCCATGGAGGGACAATTCAATTACCTTTTTGTTTTCTATAAAAATGTTAACTCATATAATGCAGCCCTCTGTGAGAATTCTATTTTTTACAATGTTGAGTTCACCTAGACCCCTATCTCAGGGAAGAAAAGCAAGAATGGTTTTGCACACAAACAGGATTTTGCAAGGATAATTGACCTGACCTCTTTTATTATCTGTTCCAGGACCAAAATGATTGGCAATGAAGCCACCCAGATCATAATGCCATTATCTCATTTGAATTGGGCTCAATGGGAAGGTTCTTTTCTATGTTTTGAAAAGCCTCCTTAAATTGCAAGCTGACACAATCTTGGATCGAGTATTTTACTACAGGAAGTCTCCAAGTATTACATGTTCCATTTGTTGTAACAAGTGACATTTATCTTTCTGGGAACAGTTACTTGGCCTAAGTTACTACATACAGCACAGTAGACAGTGGTCACAATTTTCTTGTTCTATTTGTTTCTCACAGGTAACTTATATTAATTATAGGTAAATGCTAGGAGGGCTTATTAGATCCATAAAAGGGAATTGACTAAGGGATTCCTGCCGCAGGAATGAACTGCAGAGTGACGTAATGACATTGGTGAAGGGAGCTTTCTCTTTGCCCCTCATGCTAGCCCTTCATGTTCCCAGAGTTCACGGGAGCTGGCATGTGGAGAGATTGATGAGGAGCCTTGCTTTCATCTATCCGCTTCGCATGGTCTTATCTATGTGTGAACAAGTACAGAGATCTTCATTGGTGGTGTGGCTTTTGGCCTGTATTTCAGACAAGTATAGTTACTTTCTTTTTGATCTCCCTATTTCTCCACCTCCCATCCCCACCCTGATATAGGTCCTCAACCTCTTTCTGGCTTTATTACTGAGCTCATTTAGTTCAGACAATCTTTCAGCAGTTGAAGAAGATACTGATGCAAACAACCTGCAGATTGCAGTGGCCAGAATTAAGAAGGGAATAAATTATGTGAAACAAACTGTACGTGAATTTATTCTAAAAGCATTTCCTAAAAAACCAAAGATTTCCAAAGAGATAAAACGAGCAGAAGATCTAAATAATAAGAAGGAAAACTATATCTCTAACCGTACACTTGCTGAAATGAGCAAAGATTACAATTTCTACAAAGAAAAAGATAAAACCAGTGGTTTTGAAAGGACCATGGACAAATACTTGATGGAAGAAAGTGACTATCAGTCATTCATTCATAATCCCAGCCTCACAGTCACAGTGCCAATTGCACTTGGGGAATCAGATTTGGAGAATATGAATACCGAGGAACTTAGCAGTGATTCCGATAGTGAAGACAGCAAAGGGGTAAGATTGTTTTATATAATTGTGTTTCATATTATTGATTAGTATGAAATGAATAAAAATTTCAGATTTCCATGCCGTAAGTTCTTCTTATATTGCATACTCATGGATAGTTTTCATGCTTCCTAAAGGTTCATCTGGTATGGTTTTACTTACTGGCACTTAATAATTTGTTTAATCTTGACTGGCAGTAATTTGAAAACACCAGGTATCTTTAAGTCTTCCTTTCCTCCACCCCATTTGTTACCAGCTGTGAACTCACACACAGTCTCCTTCTTCAGTGTCTGCTGACCCCACTGTCCCTCTTCAGCTCCTCTCTACTCATGAAACCATTTTAAGTGGAGTCTGACTGGTGTCTCTGCCTCCATTTTCCATCTACTCTAGTCAACATATTTGATTACTTTGACTCAGGTTCAACCCTAATCATGTCACTCCTTTGCAGTATCCTTTGTCCCCACAGTCTCCTGAATTAGAGACTGTAGATGAAGCCTTCACACCATGACCCCAACGAGCTTTGTCCAGCTGTGTGTCCTCATGTTCGCCTGGAGCTCCTCCCCCATCGTGTTCGTCTAGTGCTCATACATGTGTGAAAACCAGTTTCCTTCTAGGTCACATATATTCACCACCTGCATGATGTTGCTTGGGATTTCCTTCTTCATGCAAAATCCTATACACATCCTTAAAGACATAGCCCCCACCTTCCTCATTTTTAAAATGATTAGCCCTTACATCATAGGGTTGGGTGAGGGTTAAATGAATTAACGCATGTAAAATGCTTAGAACAGTACCAAGAGAGCTCAAAAGTATAGCTATTGTATCCTTCCTGATTTCTCCCCAAGCAGATACTGTCTCTCCTCATTTTGAACCCCACTCAATTTTATGGCCCCTTCCTAGATTTATTAGTCTTATATGATTGTATGCATCAAAGGGTAGTAAACTCATTGAAAATAGGAATATTTTATTCAAAGTTTTCTGTATCCTACTTCCCCATATCTGGTTGCATATTTTTAAAGTATTATTGAACTGTATTTTTGTTAATATGGAATATAATAACCATGAGTTTTATGACAGATTGTTAAGAGAATGGCATGTATTTAAACTAGTATTTGACAGGTTCACCAAACGCGTTCTGTCTGCTTAACCCTGTATTAAACCTGCCCTCTATGAGTTTATAGTGGATTTGGGAATAAAGTTACACAGCTGTGTGTATGTGTGTGTGTGTTTGCGTACGCATGTGCATGTGTGTGTGTGTGTATACTGGCCATCTGATCAGTACTAGGTGCATAGTAAATGCTCAGTACTTATTGAGTGAATAGATGATTAAATTATGTATATATGTTTCTAAGTAGCCATAGAAATTCTTTCCAAGATGACAAAGTAAGGAATAAATATTTTATTTTTAAAAACTTGGCATGGAAAAAGTAATATCTCCAGAATTCAAAAGGTGTGGTTGTTTTGGCTTTAAAGTAGAAAATCAAATTCTCCATCTTCCTTTTCGGGAACAATAATCTCAGTCTAGCTTCACGTGGAAAGGGAAATTAATTCAGTTGCCCATTTTTCTGCTAACGAAGTAAAATTTGTAAAACTCCAGTTGCCTGAAAGACTTTCTGAATAAGCTGGGATTCTAGACATTATAGTGCTTTGGTAGCTTGGCAGGATTTACAAACACTTCTTACATCTTGATATTTGGGAGGAGTNCTCAGAATTTATTGTCTCTCTAATAAGAAAAAAATGCATACTTCCAGATGTCTGTAAATTGCTGTCTCTGAATACATTCCATGAAGTTGTAAAGTGGTAATATGTGGCATGACGCCTGTTAAGATTATGATGAAAAGGCATTAGAGAAAGCAGTTCAGAGAATATAATGTGAGCAATAGTGGTTAGATCCTCAGATGCATTGAGACGAAAGCCAAAGGGCAGCAGCTTTGAAAATGTGCTGACTCCCCCTTTCTCCCCTCACACTATGCCCCAATTCTCACCTTGTTCAAAGGCTGCCATCTCTTACCCCCACACACACCTGTGATGGGCCCAGACAAAGTTTCCATCCACCTCCAAATTTATGTTGAGAAGTAAAGGGGCTGATGGTCTGAAATATCTATTGTGTGAGTCACTCCATAAATTATTTCTAGTCTCCTGATTCTGGGATTGTTTTCACTTATGAACTACCAAGAACTTTTCCTGAATAGAGTAGAATTGTCTTATTGTTGTCGTGGGATTAAGGACAAGGGGAAAGTACGTATATTTGTGGAAAATAGACATTTCTCCCTTAAGGAAACATAGGTACTCTTGTTTACCATCACATATTTGGTACGTGTTTCTCTGAGAGATGCCCATATCTGCTTTTAGTCATTAATTTCACTGCTTTCCCCTTACTTCTGCTTGAACTAGTAAACAAACATACGCTATAAGATTTCTATGTAATAATGCTATGATTGCATGGAACCAGTACTGTTAAATTTTCAGGCAAACCAGAAGACTCGTTTCAGTGTTAGAGCACTGCTGATTTGTATCTGGATAGGAATAAAACATACAAATGATTGACTTCATGTTCTCTGTTTTTTTTTCTCCCAGAACTTGAAGAATCCAGACAGAAATGTCCACCTTGGTGGTACAGATGTGCACACACATTTCTGATCTGGAATTGCTCTCCATGTTGGATACAATNCGGTCGCCCCCAGTGCTGCCGGTCAGCGGGAAGATGCACAGCGCCGTGGACTGCAATGGTGTGGTCTCCCTGGTGGATGGACCCTCAACCCTCATGCTCCCCAATGGACAGCTTCTGCCAGAGGTGATAATAGATAAGGCAACTTCTGATGACAGCGTAAGGACGTTTTAAATAGCTCAGGCATGGCTCGGCCCTCATTCTCGCATCAGCCCGTCTTTCTGCTGGAGGGGCCTTCTCTGGTCCTGCGAATGGCGCTGCATTTTGCAATCCTCTGTCTGTAAAACACATCTTTAACTCATTACTTAATCTGTATTCATATGTGCTGTAGGCATGTCATTCAAAGATATTTAAAACCCCATTTTTAAAAGTCGAGGTATAATAGATATATAACATTAGCTTCAGGTGTACAACATAATGATTTGATACAAAACCGCATGTTTGGAAAAAGGTACTTAGCTGTTGATATTATACTTGAAGATTCTAAATCATTCCTTTAGAAAATAATTTATAAAAGATATATATCAGCACAGAAAATGCATTGATAGTGCTGATCTTATTAGTTGATAATAGATCCCATTTTTGTAAGGAAATTTGGATTATTTGCCACCCTCTGCTATCTATTTCAAGTCACCACTTAATATATACGTTATTGCAAGGGATCTTATTTGAGTTAATAGTAATGTTAATAGCAAATGTACTTAGTATTTACAACCGTAAATATTGTTGAGGTGATATATTATTATCCCTGTTTTACAAAGGGGAAACCGAGGCACAGAGAAATGAAGCTAATAAGCAGTAGTCCTGAAGTTCACATGAAGACCCTGAGTTTCAGACCGTGTGCTCTTAACTGCCACAAGTGGCTCTCTCTCCAATGTGTAGTCATCTTCTTAACTTAGAAGTAATGTAGAATAGCTGTATTTTTCCAAATTCATAAATGAAACTTACTGTTCTCATAAAAAGAAAAAAAAGCCTCTAGAGTGTCTCAATAAAAACATATCAAAACATACACCTTAATACAAACATATACACATAAAAACAAAAAGCAACCCTTCCAAAACATCAATTCAGGAGTTTAGGAGTCATTGAGTGGTTAGAGAGAAGGGCCTGATTAGGCTTGAAAGTGAGATCTTTCTGGATTCNAAGTGCCTTTATCTATAGTTATAATGTTAAATAAAGGCAGAGCCATGACACAAATCCCAGCCTTGTGATTCACATTTCTACCTCCCTTCTCCTGTGTTTGTCCATTTCAGGAATAAAAAACACATTCCTATTGGGGTTAATACCCAAGTTGTCTCCCATGGGACACTGAGTCATGCTACTGCGGAATTTATATACCCTGTGGCAGTCAGAGGAGGTTTGTAATGTCATTTAGTCTGTAGACTATTTGGTGACTAAGACTATTTTAGCCATCCATAAAGTTACTCTGCCACCTATCCAATAAACTCATCCTAAAAAGCATGAAATTTGGTGTCCTTAAACTGTGTTATCTAAAGACCAGTTGATGGTATCATTCTAATAATCTTGATTATCATTTTTTCATGATATTATAGTCATAGCTATATGAGAAATGTACACTTTTTCTATTTCATATCTGTGGTTTACATGGTATAATATACAGGAGCTAGGGACTACCTCATAGGTTGTAATAAAGAATATATAAGCTAATCTATTTAAGTCATTTAGCACAACATTTGAGTTGGTAAGCCCTAAAACAGTGTTAGACATTGTATTTATTATTGAATTCATCATCATTATCATCTCAAAGATTTGATATTATGGACTTTGAAAGTTTGCCCTTCCTCATAAGAAATTTTCCAAGATATTACCCAAAGCCTGTCATCTCGAGTACATTCAAATCTACTTGACTATATGCTAGACTTCAGAAATAATAAAAGTTCAAGATTTATAGGAAATGTGTTAGATAGCTTAGCAATAATATTAAGCTGTCATCAACTGTGAAACCCTGTGTCAGTCTTTCTCTCCAGTTGCTTGAGATTTAAATATTCCTAGTTATGATTGGTTTTGGTTTTGGTTTTGGTTTTAGTTTTCACTTTGGACCACTAAACAATGCAGATTTTATTTATCTAAAGTGTTTCTATTACCCTTCCATGCTTACCTACCTACCTGCTCTAATTCCCCAATCTTTAGTCCTCAGTTGAGTTCCAAGATTTTAATTGTTTATTCCCTCCTTTATAACTTTCTTATTTTTTCATGCCTGAGATATCTTTGAAAGAGTGATTGCCATCTTCTTGATGAACCTTTTCTGAAGAGGCAAATCTTGATTACCTAATGGAGAGTAATGCCTGATTCACTACATTTAGGTTATTTAATTCTTAAG